ATGATGGTGAAGTTTGTCAATTTCAGGTTATTTTGAACATGCGCCTGCGAACAACAAGTGGTCAAGCCACTCCTTCCATTGTGCTGGGGCTGACGGGTAAAACATTTGATGTCCTGTCAAACTATCTTTTGCTGTTCCCACCACAATATGTTGTCATGACATATTTCTCAAGTACTCTGGCTTATATCAATGGAATACAGGTAATCAGTGGCTGGAGAGTATGTTGATAGATTAGCCAGCTAATGACTATGCTGTGATCTTTCTTCCTGGTAACATATCTAATTTTTTTTTGAAAGTGAAAAGAAACTGTAACACAAAGATGTCTATTACTTATTCTTAGTCATTCAAAAAACTTGGGTTTTAGAACAATAACCGATGACATTGTTTTCAATCAATTAGCCTTGTAAAGGGCCACTAGCAGTAAACTTCAACCTGTGTGATTAGCAAAATATCTTTTTATTATTGGAAGGCCGTGTCACTTCATTTCCGGTGCTGAAGGTAACCTTACTAATTTGGAGAGACCAAGGGACAAGATTGTAGGGCGCCTTGTGGTTCTTAAACACACATTTGAACCTTTCAAGAGAATTCTAAACTTGCATTTCTGGCTGGTAGCTTGATTAAGTTCCACAGGTTTCTCATCACTTTGAACTGGATAGTTTCTGTGACCCAGACATTTTGCTAATAAGACAGGATAAGAGNATTTCTCAAGTACTCTGGCTTATATCAATGGAATACAGGTAATCAGTGGCTGGAGAGTATGTTGATAGATGAGCCACCTAATGGCTATGCTGTGATCTTTCTTCCCGGTAGCATATCTAATTTTTTTTTCACTTGCTATAAGTAGATTGCAATACACTGTATAACACAGTGAAAAGAAATTGTAACACAAAGATGTCTATTACTAATTCTTAGTCATTCAAAAAACTAGGGTTTTAGAACAATAACCGATGACACTTTTTTCAATCAATTAGCCTTGTAAAGGGCCACTAGCAGTAAACTTCAATCTGTGTGATTAGCAAAATATCTTTTTATTTTTGGAAGGGCGTGTCACTTCATTTCCGGTACTGAAGGTAAACTTCCTAATTTGGAGAGACCAAGGGACAAGATTGTAGGGCGCCTTGTAGTTCTTAAACACACATTTGAACCTTTTAAGAGAATTCTAAACTTGCATTTCTGGCTGGTAGCTTGATTAAGTTCCACAGGTTTCTCATCACTTTGAACTGGATAGTTTCTGTGACCCAGACATTTTGCTAATAAGACAGGATAAGAGTTACCCATTTTGACAACTTTCTGATGATTTTTGTTTCAATTGACATATCAAACCCTACGAAGGGTGAGTGGTGTAGTTTACATGACAACGTACCGCCCGCACCTGCCAACTTCTTGTAACTTGATTGGTCGAATCAGGCGGAATCCATG